TACAGTCTATGGTCACTGCACAGAAGAGAGGGGCGGAGTCAGCAGAGCTCATTAGCATTTAAAGCAACATGGACTAGAATTGCTTGCTAAAAACAGAGCTCATTTTGACAGGGTAAAAAAGGTGTTTTTTACACTACCATTGAGAAATTTTAACCAAAGTATGTTATAGACTATTCATTAAGACCCTAAAGAATCATATCAACTTATATCAAATGGGCATCCGATGACCCCTTTAACGAAAAGAACGCCTCCTTCGCCGGACGCTCATCTGCATTCTGAGCAAACAAACATTCACGCCGGAGGAGGACGAGAAATGCATGGCTAATTCGGAATCTCAAAGCCAATTCACTGGTCATTTTCTTAGTGAGCGAGATGCTAATTATTCTCCGACTGCACATGTAAAGCAATCCAGCTGCTCGGCGGTGTGATTCCCATGACCCTGCCCCCACGCACCCCTGCAAATAGCCCGACTCTTTTGTGTGAAGTTAGTAGTTCGGCGTGTCTATTGTCCGCTCCGGCGCTCAGATTCTGCCCTGAAGCTCAGTGAACCGCTGTAGACGTTACGCTTTAAAGGGAACGAGGTGTAAATAAGGATGTGTGGGGGTCTGGCTAGAAATCCTAGAATTTAAACTAGAGGCCCGGAGGATTACGCTTTACTAACATTTCACAGAGATCTGTCATGCAGTCAGACACCAGATGAGGAAAAACAACGTTAAAAGACTCTTTTGTGTGAAGTTAGTAGTTCGGCGTGTCTATTGTCCGCTCCGGCGCTCAGATTCTGCCCTGAAGCTCAGTGAACCGCTGTAGACGTTACGCTTTAGACCCGCTTAAAGGGAACGAGGTGTAAATAAGGATGTGTGGGGGTCTGGCTAGAAATCCTAGAATTTAAACTAGAGGCCCGGAGGATTACGCTGTACTAACGTTTCACAGAGATCTGTCATGCAGTCAGACACCAGATGAGGAAAAACAACGTTAAATGTTGACGATAAAACATCTAATTGTGCATGAATGAATCTGCTTTCAAATGGAAGGAGAAAACACTTTTTTTATGTTGATGTCAAAGGTCACGCGTGGTCATGTGACAATGAACAGGGAATCAAATGTATTTATGTGCATAGCTATTTTCACAATACACACAGTTTCACAGCAGCTTCATATAATGTTAAAATCTATAATATCTTAATATCGTCATGCCTTATAGTCACAGATTAGAGCTGGACAATAATATTATTTAAATTTTGCAAAGATATAAACAATATCACAATATAAGCAAGCACCCGGCAACAATCTAGCAACAATTTAGAATAACCCAGAAACACCCTAGCAACCCCATCATAGCAACCATCAGAACGGATAGAAAAATACATGCTTGTATCAACAAGTTAAAAATGCTCACAACATGTGAGCAACCACCTAGCAACACCCTAGCAACCACACAGAAAACCCTAGCAACGCCATAGCAACCACTCAGAACAGTTAGAAACATGCGTACTTGCATCAACAAGCTAACAAAGGTCATAACATGTGAGCAACCATCTAGCAAAACCCTAGTAACCACTCAGAACACCCTAGCAACCATGCAGAAAACCCTTGCAACTCAATAGTAAAATGCATCCTTGTATCAACCAGGTAACAATGCTCACAACACATGACCTACCACGTAGCAACCACCCAGCAACACCCTAGCAACTCCATAGCAACCATTCAGAATACATAGAAAAATGCATACTTGCATCAACAAGTCACCCTAGCAAATGCAAACCCTAGAAACCATTTAGCATTAGACACCACCCAGCAACACCCTAGCAACCACTCAGAAAACCCTAGCAACTTTATAGCAACCACTCAGAATGGCGAGAAAATGCATATTTATATCAACAAGCTAAAAATGCTCACAACACATGAGCAACCACCGAGAAGACCCTAGCAACTCCATAGCAACCACTCAGAACAGCTAAAAAAATGCATACTTGTGTCAACAAGTTAAAAATGCTCACAACACTTGAGTAACCACCTAGCAACCCCTCAGAAAACACAACGTAAAATAAATGACCCAGGTGACATTAAAAAGTGTTAACTTGGGGAAATATTTAAAATGAATTATTCTAAATGCTTAGAGACATTTAGAAAAGCAAACACTACAACTAAAAGGACAATGTTAAAACTAAAGTTTAGTCTTTCATGTCACATAATTTTGCATTTTGTTTTCATTTCTATTGATTTTAAGGGCATTTTATTTTGTGAACTGTGTTTGATATCTGATATCAAATCTGCAAAACCAGTTGAAGGACTGGACTAGACAACTAGCAAATGAGAAACAAGCATGCCATGACTAGTTGCACTCTTTGATGAGCGCGCTGTCGTCTCTTTGACTTAATTAGATGTGTGTTTTGCCCTCGCTTATCAAAAAGCTTCATGTAATTTCCATTTCACCACAGCTAGCACATTTGCATGTATTCCCCAGACGACAGCAAGTCTTTGTAGGAGAAGTGAAGTTGAAACTTGGATGTCTTCACCTCGCAAGGCCAGCGGTGGGAGACCTTGACCTCTGAACGGACGGCCGGGGACATCTGGTGCTGGCCTTGTTTATTTATTTATTTACCTCATAACAAAAGACAGGTGGTCACACTTGAAAAGGAGCGATGCAGCCTCACACACACACACACACACACTCATGCACATAAAACAGAAAAAGAGCAATGCTCTGTCAGAGACGAGACCTTTGTGTCTTATATAATTAACATCAAAACATTATATCCTCAATATCACCTTTATAGCACTGTTAATGCTAGGAAATTTTGATAAATCCCATGATATTGTGTTCATGCAACATCATATTTTCAAGGTATTTTACAGAATACCATTGTATTAGCATGGTACAAAAATCTAATTAATACCATATCCTCAAAACAAACCATTAACACTCTGGCAACTACTTTGAACAGCTTGAAACCAGATATTTCTATCAACAAACGTACAACTCGTTAGCAACCACCAAGCTAAAACCACACGCTTATTGATTATTTCTCGGTATGATATGTGTACTGTTACACCCCTTGTAACAACCACTCAGAACATCATAGAAGACACCCAGCAATACCATAGCAACCATCAAAAACAGCTAGAAAATGAATTATTGTATAAACAAGCTAAAAATGCTCACAACAAACGAATAACCACCTAGCAACACCTTAGAAACCACTCAGAATACCCAAGCAACCACTTAGCAACACCCTAGCAAACCACTCAAAACACATGGTTAACTGTACCAACAAACTAAAAATTCTTGCAGATTGTTAGAAACCACCTAGAACACCCTAGCAACACCCTTGCAACCACTTACATCATCCTTGTGACCACTAGTACAAGCTACTGTATGAAAAAACAAACTACCTTAGCAACCACGCAGAACACCCCTGCAACCTCTCAGAAAACACTTGTAATTCCATAGCAACCTTTCAGAACAGCTAGAAAATGCATACTTGTATCAAGAAGCCACAAATGCTCACAATACATTAACAACCAACTGGCAACACCCTAGCAACCACCCAGCAACACACTGGCAACCACTGAGAAAACCTTAGCAGCCACTCAGAATAGCTAGAAAAATGTATACTTGTGTTAACAAGCTACAAATATTCACAACACATTGGCAACCACCAAGAAACACCCTAGCAACCACCCAGCAACACACTGGCAACCACTGAGAAAACCTTAGCAACCACTCAGAATAGCTAGAAAAATGTATACTTGTGTTAACAAGCTACAAATATTCACAACACATTGCAACCACCAAGAAACACCCTAGCAACCACTCAAAACAGCTAGAAATGCTTAAATTCACACAATACATTAGCAACCACCCAGAAACCCCTAGCTACACCCTAGCAACCACCCAGAACCACTAGAAAATGCATATTTGTATCAAGAAGCCACAAATGCTAACAATACATTAGCAACCACTCAGAACACCCTAGCAACATCCTAGCAATCACTCAGAACACCCTAGCAACACCCTTGTTACACTCTGACAAGCTAGAAAATGCATACTTGAATCAACAAGCAATACATGCTCATGATACATTAGCAACGACCCAGAAAACCCTATCTACACACTAGCAACAACCAAGAACCGCTAGAAAATGCATACTTGAATCAACAAGCCACAAATACTCACAATACATTAGCAACCACCCAGCAACATCCTAGCAACCACTCAGAACAACTACAAAATTCATTATTTTGTTTACAGCTACCCAGAACACCCTAGCAACATCTTAGCAACCACTCAGAACACCCTAGCAACCACTCTGACAAGCTAGAAAATGCATACTTGTATCAACAAGCCACAAATACTCACAATACATTAACAACCAACTGGCAACACCCTAGCAACCACCCAGCAACACACTGGCAACCACTCAGAATAGCTAGAAAAATGCATACTTGTGTTAACAAGCTACAAATATTCACAGCACATTGGCAACCACCAAGAAACACCCTAGCAACCACTCAAAACAGCTAGAAATGCTTAAATTCACACAATACATTAGCAACCACCCAGAAAACCCTAGCTACACCCTAGCAACCACCTTAGCAACCACACAGAACCGCTAGAAAATGCATACTTGTCGCAAGAAGCAACAAATGATCACAATACATTAGCAACCACCCAGAAACTTCATAGCAATCACTCAGAACACCCTAGCAACACCCTCAACAGATACTCGCATAGAAAACTGTTATTTTAAATTTTAAAAATATTTCACTTTTTACTGTATTTTTGATCAAATAAATGCAGCCTCGGAGAGCACAAGAGACTTTTCAAAAGCATACTTTAAACCCGAACACAAAAACTAAAGTACCATGGTATTTCCTATGCGTGAAACAGCCCAGCTGCTCAAAGCCAAAAGAAAGTCGTGGTACATTTCTCCAAATCTGATGAAGACACAAACTCATCCTAATCTCAGATGGACTGAGTGTGAGCGCATTTACAGCACATTTTCATTTTGGGCCAAACTACTTCTCTGAAGGAAATCAAAAGCAGTGTATAAATGTTGTTGACTCACTCGGTGACGGTGCATAAGGAGCAGCAGCATTCGGAGCAGATGTTGCACTGCTGGAAACACGCTGCACACGCGTGACGGTCGCACTGAGAGCACGGCTTCCTCGAACCCGAGACCCTCTGACACACACAACACGCTGCAGGAGCCGCTGCACAACCTGACGACACAATTACAGCAGTTCAGACGGAGCCGAAAGTGACCGCAGTCGCATTATACTGCTCTCAAAACATCACCAGTGCGGATTAAACAATCCCAAACACACACACGACTGTGTGATGAACGTAACAGTGATCAATACTCAAGAGGTTTGGATCTAATGAGGATAATTATGGTTTTATTTACTTGTTTTTGGGTGAACTACTGCTTGAAATGCACTCAACATGTCTTTCGTTATTAAAAGATTCTGTAATCTGTAGGTTATGGTTGTTTCACAGACCTAATTTGATGTTGCCGAGTTCAAAAACATTAACACTTTCCATCATGTAGCCTAGTTTTTACACAAAATAAGAATTAATTTTTGAAATTGTAATGCATCAGCTTTAATGCACGGATCAAAACAAAAGCGTGAGTTTGATTTTAAAGCCAAAAAAAGTATTTAAAATGTTCCACACTTATCTTAAACTGCTCAAATACTCAATTTAATGTCACTAGAGCTTATTCACAAAATGTGATTTTCTGTGGCTGTTTGTATGCGGCAGAAAACACCGCTTTCTCCTGTTGTTGCCCTGAATTCTACCCTTGAGATCAGGATGTCACGCATGTTAAAAAGAGCTGAGAACTGATCAGCTAGTTGTAATCTGGCTCAGGAGGAATCATGCGTTTGTGTGTTTGTCTGCAGATTAGGGGAGAACACGAGACTTCTTCAGATCACAAATGATTCCCAAAAGCAAAAATGCTACAAAATGCATCATATTTAGTGAGAAAGTGACGTGAACGAGCAAAACAGACACTGTTTTTGGAATCAGCAGCACAATAGTAGTAAGAAACGTGGATTTCCTTCAGCAGATGTGATGCAGGACGGTGTAATCGCTCTAGATTCACCTGGACCAGCGTCCGCTTTCTGTAACCGTCCGTCCAGCCCGATGCGTGTTTGTCCTCGGAGAAGCGTCTGATGGGACACGAGCGCGTCTGACGCCTTCTCCTCCCCGTCTGCCTTCCAGAGTCGACCCATCATGGCTTTGGTTCCGTTGAAGAGCAGGTTTTTGGTCTTTTCTGTGTGTGTGTGTGTGAGAGAGAGAGAGAGAGAGAGAGAGAGAGAGACATCATCATGAGAAGAGAGACTAATCAGGAAAACTAAAAACAACCCTAAACGTTTAGCAACAATATTTAAAACACCCTGCTGGTAAGATGAACCAGTAAGTAAATAAATGCATAAATAAATGCTTTAACCCCTTAAAGGGATAGTTCACCCAAAAATGAAAATCAGCCCATGATTTACTCGCCCTAAAGCCGTCCGAGGTGTATACGACTTTCTTCTTTCAGACGAATCAATCGGAGTTATATAAAAAAACAAAAACATCCTGGCTCTTCCAAGCTTTATAATGGCAGTGAATGGGGGTTACTTTTTGGAAGAGCTTGGAAAGGCCAGGATATTTTTTTAATATAACTCCGATTGATTCGTCTGAAAGTAGTAAGTCGTATACACCTCGGACGGCTTTAGGGCGAGTAAATCACGGGCTGATTTTCATTTTTGGGTGAACTATCCCTTTAAGTGTCAGCAGCCCACAGCCATTACATATGTATTGCCTTTTTTCTCAAATGTTAGTAATCACCCTTACTTAGATATCATTTGAAAGCTTAAACTCAAATCATCCTGTGAAAACCATTTTGAAGTTGCGTTACCATGGAAGTGGCACTTTAAAGTCTTTTGGCGGTCCCCTCCCCCTAAGTGGGTGGTGTCAAGTGTCATATTACAATATCGAAACTTTTTATAATCTTGACAAAATACATATGGTTGGAAAGGTCCAAGATTCCAAATTTGCTTGTTATTTTGTGATATTAGTAATATGGAGTTTGTTTGTCACCCGGTGGCTGTTCGTGGTATAACGCCCTAAATAAAATCTCACAGGAACCTCAATCTTTTTTTTATTTTTTTATATCAACTTCAAATTTGGAACATAACTTGTATAGACATGAGGCTTTAATTGTATAGCATTTTTAGAGGAAAACCTGTTATGAAAAATATTTATATAAAATAATAAAAATAAAAAAAAAAACTGTAGTGCATTTTATTTTCAGTAAATTTAAACTTGTATAACTTCGATACTTTCATATTTTGAAACGATTCCACTTCTACAATAAAATGCTGATCGTCTTCTTTAAAAAGAATGCAACCTTAGGTATGCATTGCAAAGCGTTCATCAATTATAACAATTTAAAGCTGCAGTCCGTAAGTTTTGCCTCTTCGTCGCCATCTCCGTTTGAATTGCAGCTGTGTGTGGAATTATCTTCATTACGTGGGTTGTGCTCCGGCACGGCTGCATCTAATGTTTTGAGGAGCGTGTGAATCCTATACTTAGTAACCACAGATTCTAGCACGTCTTGGAATATATGACCTAAATAAGTATTTTCACCGGATATCGTCATCTGAACAAGTCTGCAACGTTTGTTCTGACCAACTGAGGAAAAAAAGCATTACACGTACCACTCAACTTAGAACACATTATTATAAGCAAACCGTTGTGAAACACTGGCTGCTTATGTACTCGCTCAAATATTGATTTTGGATCATTTTTAACCAAATAAAAAGTTACGGACTGCAGCTATAAGTTTGGATAGTGCACTTTCACGTCTACGTTCAAACTTATCTTACAAATAATTTTACTCCTTTATATAAAAATATGACTTTAAGTCATGCAACTCAATATTATGAAAGCAGCCATAAAGGTTGTGATCAATGAAACTAACTAACTAACACTTAATTATGAGCGTCAATTAAAATATTTAACAACCTGCTGGTAACACGAATCAGCCTATATGGTTTAAAACAAAACAAAAACACACACAAATGAGGAAAAATAACATTAGGATTACATAAAATCGCAAATTTAACTATTTTAAAGCACTGAAACTGATTGATCTCGGCTCACAATTAGCTTTAAGTACACTGACCAATAATAAATTCTCTAATGAGGTTATAAACGTGATAAACATGTTTCTGTCTCACCATAAACCTCTTGTCTGTATCTGAGTCCAGAAGCTCCGCAGTTATTGACCTCCTTCTGACCAACGCGAACTTTATACTGCGAGGAGAAGCTCTCGCTGAACGGATAGGAGCGCTTGGGCATCTTCACAACCACAGCTGCTAAACCACGACGACTAAAGCGACGGAGAACGGGAAATAAACAAACTACGGACAAACAAACAACCGTGCAGGAAGAACAACACGTGTTCGCTTTTAAAGGACTCCTCTTCTTCTTCAGCCGCGGAGCTGCAGCGGCGGACGCACGCGAGCACACCTGCAGGCGTGTATGTGCTACTGCATGTCTTCACTATACTGTACATTACACTTTATATATATATATATATATATATATATATTTTGTATCGAATGCAATGACATTTAAGCACTTCTACATGTGATACAAAATAATAAATGGTATATAGGGAACATAACAACTAAATAGTATACATTTTAATATTAATTAAATAATGAATAACAAAAACAAAAGTTTAAAAATGTTTATTTACACCCACTGTCTGATTATTTGACTTGACCTTTACCTTATTCCTGTAGTGTACTTGTGTATGTGATATTTGGGGGCACTGTAGAACAAAACAACAATAATAATAACAATAAGTAAATAGTGTAAATAAAATACATAGCGTTAATAATACATATTTAATTTAAAAACTAATAAATAATCATTATTAAACTGTACAAATAAAATAAATAATAATAATAATAAAATATATATATATATATAATCATTATTAATAGTATAAATAAAATAGTGCAATTAAAATAAAAAAATAAAACAAATATTTTAATAATATAAATAGTATAAAGCAAATAGTGTAAATAAAATAAATATAATTTAATAAAAAAAATGATACTTATTAAACAGGTTAAAAATAAATTATTAGTGTAAATAAAATTATTTAATAAATAATTATTATTAGTGTAAATAAAATACATAGGGTTAATAATACATATTTAATTTAAAAACTAATAAATAATAATTATTAAACTGTACAAATAAAATAAATAATAATTAAAAAAATAATATATAATAATTATTAATAGTATAAATAAAATAGTGCAATTAAAATTATAAAAATAAAACAAATATTTTAATAATATAAATAGTATAAAGCAAATAGTGTAAATAAAATAAATATAATTTAATTAAAAAAATGATACTTATTAAACAGGTTAAAAATAAATTATTAGTTTAAATAAAATAATACATTATTTTAATAATAAATAATACAAATAATTGTATAAATAAATAAATAGTGTAAATAAAATAATAAATATTAATAAAAAAATAACAATAATCATAATTGTTAAATAGTATAAACGCAATAAGTGTAACATATTTAATAAAAAAATATTAATAATGATTAAATAGCACAAATAAAGTAAATAGTGTAAAAATAATAAAATAATGACATTTTAAAAAGTTTATTCACTCCCACTGTCTGATTATTTGACTTGTTCCTGCAGTGTTTGGTTTTCCTCTGAGATCAGATCATCTTGGCATCGAGGAGGGCAACACAGCGTTCTCCGTCTGAATCTATTTCTGACGCAGCTAATAGTGCGTCTAACCTAATTATATCCACCATCAGACAAGGAAAGAAGCCAGTGCGGCACAAAGGAAAAACCCACTTTAATGGAAAGACACGCTTTCGGGATCTTATTCTAAAAGCAGAAAGTGAAATGCACACAGCAACCAAAAAAAGAAATAAACACAGTTTCAGGGGATTCGGTTTATGTGTCTCATAATCAACTGAATCCCAAAAACTCAACATTAACACAAGTGCCATTATTTATGATCAGGTGTTGCAGTCGATCTGTTATAACGCCTGCACATACACAGCCATTCAGAGCTGATCTTCCATCAACTACAACATTGCTAAGAGAGTTTTCTGAATGCCAAGCAGTGCAACCAAGAGTCCCGCGGTGCTGGTGGTCTTCAGGAGGATTGTGGGCGATCCTAGAACATCTGGATCATGCATTCCCTGGATTTGCCAACGCCGACCCACTTAACTGTGGTGAAGAGATGCAGAGGTGAGTTTGGGTCACAGGAGGATGCTGTGTGTTTATCACTAGCTATGCTTCCATCCACCTATTTTTATGCGCATTTTGGATTATCGCATAAAAACCGCTGGATGGAAACGCCAAGATGCCCATAAATTCTAAAACTTATGCGCACAACTGAGTCGGATAAACGTTTTATCCGATAAGAAAAAATGCACATAAACTACCATAGAAAATCTTTGCTTGGTTCTTACTAGGAACGCCGATGTGATTCTCCACGAAGCGGATGTAGTTCTGGGCTTTGGGAGGAAGATCGTTCCACTTCCTGGCCGCTGATGTGTCCGTCTTCCATCCGGAAAACATCTCGTATTCGACCTCCACCTTCTGCAGCACCTCCATGTTTGCTAGAAGCACAGAGAGATGCACGAAGAGAAGGAGACAGAAGTAAAGTGCGCATGCATGGAACAGGGTTATATATTATGGAAGCTCGTTTCCACCACTGAATTAAAAATAACAAAAAAAGTTATTGCGACATTTTATCTCACAATTCTGACTTTTTTCTCACAATTCTGACATTATAACACGCAGTTGTGAGCAGTGTTGGGGGTGACGCATTACAAGTAACGTGAGTTATGTAATCTGATTACTTTTTTCAAGTAACTAGTAAAGTAATGCATTACTTTTTAATTTACAGGAGAATATTTTTTCAAGTTACTTTTTTTCCAAATTTATTGACTGACAGCTCTCCTGTCCCCATGTTGAGAGAAATCAGATGTTACTGTAGTTCTAAAATAAATATGAATATGCATTAATTCATCTCACTCACAAAAACACACAGATTCAGTATTCCTCAAAATGAATAAAAATAATGCAACTCAGAATATGACGCAAACCTGCAATAATTAAATGTTAAACAACACAAATATCCTTTATGTATTTAATCCCATTCTATTAAACTTGTTCCTGCAGTGTTTGGTTTTCCTCTGAGATCAGATCATCTTGGCATCAAGGAGGGGAACACAGCGTTCTCCGTCTGAATCTATTTCTGACGCAGCTAATAGTGCGTCTAACCTAATTATATCCGCCATCAGACAAGGAAAGAAGCCAGTGCGGCACAAAGGAAAAACCCACTTTAATGGAAAGACACGCTTTCGGGATCTTATTCTAAAAGCAGAAAGTGAAATGCACACAGCAACCAAAAAAAGAAATAAACACAGTTTCAGGGGATTCGGTTTATGTGTCTCATAATCAACTGAATCCCAAAAACTCAACATTAACACAAGTGCCATTATTTATGATCAGGTGTTGCAGTCGATCTGTTATAACGCCTGCACATACACAGCCATTCAGAGCTGATCTTCCATCAACTACAACATTGCTAAGAGAGTTTTCTGAATGCCAAGCAGTGCAACCAAGAGTCCCGCGGTGCTGGTGGTCTTCAGGAGGATTGTGGGCGATCCTAGAACATCTGGATCATGCATTCCCTGGATTTGCCAACGCCGACCCACTTAACTGTGGTGAAGAGATGCAGAGGTGAGTTTGGGTCACAGGAGGATGCTGTGTGTTTATCACTAGCTATGCTTCCATCCACCTATTTTTATGCGCATTTTGGATTATCGCATAAAAACCGCTGGATGGAAACGCCAAGATGCCCATAAATTCTAAAACTTATGCGCACAACTGAGTCGGATAAACGTTTTATCCGATAAGAAAAAATGCACATAAACTACCATAGAAAATCTTTGCTTGGTTCTTACTAGGAACGCCGATGTGATTCTCCACGAAGCGGATGTAGTTCTGGGCTTTGGGAGGAAGATCGTTCCACTTCCTGGCCGCTGATGTGTCCGTCTTCCATCCGGAAAACATCTCGTATTCGACCTCCACCTTCTGCAGCACCTCCATGTTTGCTAGAAGCACAGAGAGATGCACGAAGAGAAGGAGACAGAAGTAAAGTGCGCATGCATGGAACAGGGTTATATATTATGGAAGCTCGTTTCCACCACTGAATTAAAAATAACAAAAAAAGTTATTGCGACATTTTATCTCACAATTCTGACTTTTTTCTCACAATTCTGACATTATAACACGCAGTTGTGAGCAGTGTTGGGGGTGACGCATTACAAGTAACGTGAGTTATGTAATCTGATTACTTTTTTCAAGTAACTAGTAAAGTAATGCATTACTTTTTAATTTACAGGAGAATATTTTTTCAAGTTACTTTTTTTCCAAATTTATTGACTGACAGCTCTCCTGTCCCCATGTTGAGAGAAATCAGATGTTACTGTAGTTCTAAAATAAATATGAATATGCATTAATTCATCTCACTCACAAAAAACACACAGATTCAGTATTCCTCAAAATGAATAAAAATAATGCAACTCAGAATATGACGCAAACCTGCAATAATTAAATGTTAAACAACACAAATATCCTTTATGTATTTAATCCCATTCTGTTAGCTTCTGAGCTTCGATGATCCGGTTCAAGCGTACTAATCAGCACACATTACACAGAACATTTGTGTCTTTGTTTATTGCTGAAGTGTGTTGAAATGTCTTCTTCTGTATTCTACTGTACTTTCCCTTCAGCCTGAGGCTTATTCATTTCACTTTTGCTGTGAAAGGCTTTTATATTTGCCAAAAATATAACTTTTTTATTTTAAAAACAAACAAGCAAGCCCTGTCCAGATTTACAAAGTAACGCAAAAGTAACGTAACGCATTACTTTCCATAAAAAGTAACTAAGTAACGTAATTAGTTACTTTTTTATGGAGTAACGCAACATTGTAATGCATTACTTTTAAAAGTAACTTTCCCCAACGCTGCTGGTTGTGAGTTAAAATCCAATTCTGACGGGAGGAAAAAGACTGATATGTTCTCAGAATTGCGAGTTTATATCACGCAATTATGAGAAAAAAAGTCAGAATTGTGAGATAAAAAGTCGCAATTACCTTTTTTATTTTTAATTCAGTGGCAGACACGGGCTTCCATAGTTGTTATCTAAACTAAACATAAAAAAAATTATTGTTACTTGAAATAAACTAAACTTTAAAATACTGAAATAAAACAAATTTTAACATTTTATTTCAGCAAAATGTTCCAATTTCTTAAAGTTTAAGCTTAGGTACTAAAATAAACATTACAAAAACACACAACAAAATGATTAAACTTTAATAATAATTAATTGTTTTAAATCTCAAAGCACTTTACAAAAATAAAATAAAACAAAAACACAACAAAAATGACAAACATACATCAAAACAATTTAAGAAGAATATAATATAAAATAAAAAACAATGACAAAATCACTTAAAAGCTACTCTGGGTTTTAAACGTTTTGAAAACGTTTAAATAAAAAAATGAAATGAAAACAGAAAAAAAAATAGAAATAAAATCTAATTCAAAATGTTAACAAAAACTATACTAGTATCTCATTGATGCTAAAATAACACCGGAAGATGTTTCAAACCATGCGGTTTATTTTTAAGTATTAAAACAAATACAGAAGTGAATACCGAATAATTGCAATAATATTTTATTATAATGTTAATGATGCACATTATGATCACAGTCAAACTACAAATACTTCAGTATAACTGAGATACTATTATACTTTGTAGTTATATTTTTAATTAGTTTTTATTTTTAAATGAGTTAAATCTGTTTTCATTTTAATTTTAAGTTATTTTAGTCATCTTTAAAGTAATTTTGTTGTGTGGTTTTGTCATTTTTATTGTTATTTTTCTTTTAATGTCTATATAGTTTTTATCAATTTTATTTTATCTTGTATTTCTGTGATGCGCAGCTGTATTTCCAGCATCATTCCTCCAGTCTTCAGTGTCACATGATCTTCAGAAATCAGTATAATATACTGCTCTGCTGCTCCAGAAACATTTCTGATTATTATTATTATTATTATGTTGAAAACAGCTGAGTAGAATTTTTTCAGGTTTCTTTGATGAACCTAAAGCTCAGAAGAACAGCATTTATCTGAAATAAAAAGCTTTTGTAACATTATAAATGTCTTTATCATCACTTTTGATCAATTTAAATTTCTAATTAATTTCTCATTTCAAATCAGAATATTATACTGATTTCTGAAGATCATGAGACACTGAAGACTGGAGTAATGATGCTGAAAATACAGCTGCGCATCACAGAAATACATTACAGTTTAACAGATATTCACATAGAAAACAGCTGTTTTAAATAGTAAAAATATTTCAGAATATTACTGCATTTGCTGTATTTCTGCTCAAATAAATGCAGGCTTGGTGAGCAGACGAGACTTCTTTAAAACACATAAAAAATTGTAGTGCATATACAGTGGGTACGGAAAGTATTCAGACCCCCTTAAATTTTTCACTCTTTGTTATATTGCAGCCATTTGCTAAAATCTTTCACGCAATTATGAGAAAAAAAGTCAGAATTGTGAGATAAAAAGTCGCAATTACCTTTTCTATTTTTAATTCAGTGGCAGACACGGGCTTCCATAGTTGTTATCTAAACTAAACATAAAAAAAATTATTGTTACTTGAAATAAACTAAACTTTAAAATACTGAAATAAAACAAATTTTAACATTTTATTTCAGCAAAATGTTCCAATTTCTTAAAGTTTAAGCTTAGGTACTAAAATAAACATTACAAAAACACACAACAAAATGATTAAACTTTAATAATAATTAATTGTTTTAAATCTCAAAGCACTTTACAAAAATAAAATAAAACAAAAACACAACAAAAATGACAAACATACATCAAAACAATTTAAGAAGAATATAATATAAAATAAAAAACAATGACAAAATCACTTAAAAGCTACTCTGGGTTTTAAACGTTTTGAAAACGTTTAAATAAAAAAATGAAATGAAAACAGAAAAAAAAATAGAAATAAAATCTAATTCAAAATGTTAACAAAAACTATACTAGTATCTCATTGATGCTAAAATAACACCGGAAGATGTTTCAAACCATGCGGTTTATTTTTAAGTATTAAAACAAATACAGAAGTGAATACCGAATAATTGCAATAATATTTTATTATAATGTTAATGATGCACATTATGATCACAGTCAAACTACAAATACTTCAGTATAACTGAGATACTATTATACTTTGTAGTTATATTTTTAATTAGTTTTTATTTTTAAATGAGTTAAATCTGTTTTCATTTTAATTTTAAGTTATTTTAGTCATCTTTAAAGTAATTTTGTTGTGTGGTTTTGTCATTTTTATTGTTATTTTCTTTTAATGTCTATATAGTTTTTATCAATTTTATTTTATCTTGTATTTCTGTGATGCGCAGCTGTATTTCCAGCATCATTCCTCCAGTCTTCAGTGTCACATGATCTTCAGAAATCAGTATAATATACTGCTCTGCTGCTCCAGAAACATTTCTGATTATTATTATTATTATTATGTTGAAAACAGCTGAGTAGAATTTTTTCAGGTTTCTTTGATGAACCTAAAGCTCAGAAGAACAGCATTTATCTGAAATAAAAAGCTTTTGTAACATTATAAATGTCTTTATCATCACTTTTGATCAATTTAAATTTCTAATTAATTTCTCATTTCAAATCAGAATATTATACTGATTTCTGAAGATCATGAGACACTGAAGACTGGAGTAATGATGCTGAAAATACAGCTGCGCATCACAGAAATACATTACAGTTTAACAGATATTCACATAGAAAACAGCTGTTTTAAATAGTAAAAATATTTCAGAATATTACTGCATTTGCTGTATTTCTGCTCAAATAAATGCAGGCTTGGTGAGCAGACGAGACTTCTTTAAAACACATAAAAAATTGTAGTGCATATACAGTGGGTACGGAAAGTATTCAGACCCCCTTAAATTTTTCACTCTTTGTTATATTGCAGGTGTTTGTGTACGTCTCTTTTTGTACAAATTATATTATGTAGTCAAAAACACAGACTGACTCGATATTTAGCTGCACAAAACATGCACCAGTGATTCACTCAAATGAATCAGTGAATCATTCTTCTGAACCAATTCACTACTTTTAGTTTCTAACGTCCCAGCACTGCTCCTAACACTATGAATGATTTTACCCGGGAAATACGGGATTCTCTTGCCGTTGATCTTATAGGCAACGCCAACTTTAATTTCATCCAGAACATCGAGGATGTCCAGTTTAGTCAAAGCAATGCTGAAGAAAGACACAGAACGAACATTAGAAATTTCTAAAAATTTTTACATTTATTGCTGACACACTTTTTCAACATTTTATGCAACATTTGAATTAAAAAAGCCAAATGCACATGCAATATAATCAGGTCATGCATGTGACACGCTGCAATTTCTCGCTGCATACTATATCATATCATAAAAAATAATATTCAGTATAGTTCAGTATGTAAGTACTTCACATGATACTCGTATACTCACGCAGTGAATCCGTTGATCATATGAGCGTATTTGAGAATAACCAAATCCAGCCAACCACAGCGTCTCTTTCTGCCTGTGGTCACGCCCACTTCATGACCTCTGGTCTGCAGCAGCTCGCCCACCGCCTGAGGAGAGAGAGACATCCATTACTAGTTCATATATAGATGGGTCAGAGTCGTTAAGATGTCCGCATCAAACGAAATGTACAAAAGTGATTTTATGTCTACAGAAAGCATATTAAATGTAAGTAAAGTGTCTAATTTGAAGGTTTCAAATACGTTTTTGGAGGATACAATGTTACAATCTGGTTGAAACAATGTTACGTTGTCATTCAGTGTAACACAATATTTATGTAGAAATTCAAACAACATGCTTATTCTGACGTGTAGATATTAAAATATGTAAAAGAACCAGTGAGCATATTACATTTTATTGTGTTTTAAATGAGTCAAAACTTCTTACAGACAAATGGGCAAAATCTAGGATAGAGGCACGTTTTAAAAATGTAAAATTACAACTAATTAGTATTTGGGGTGAAAGTAATTAGTCTTTCAACGTGTCATAAATTGATTTTTGTTGTAAATATGCCTGACACGATTGTTACACTAGTGGCTCTCTTCTGTAAATCAGGGGAAATGTATGATATTTATTTTTTGCTCAGAAAAACAAAAACAAAATTGCAATTAAATCAAACAGAAATTTTTTTGGAAAAACGACAACAATTTAAAGCAGTATTACACTTTTTGTTTTTATGCTTAAACCCTTTTTCGTCCTTGACCCAGATACATTGGTATCTTTAAATATGTTACTATACATATAAAATATATTAATTATAATCATAAATATCAAAAACATTTACATAAATAAATAAATAATTATTTAATATTTATATTAAAATTTTTTGTTTAATTTATATCTATTTAAATATTTTTTATATTTATTTATTTTTATTTATGACATTTAATCTTTATTTATTTAAAAAAAGTAACTGGCAAAGTACAGATCAAATCAACAGATGTATCTCTATATTTATAAAATATATATAAAATATATATTATATTACTCATATACGTTTTTTATAATAATTTTTTTTAATTTTAGTTAAATGTCATTTTATTTTTAAGCAACAAAATATTTTTTATGATTTTAATTTTAGTTATTTTAGTATATCAAGTTAAAGTAAATGAAAATGAAAAACGTCTTGTCGACTAGCTGAAATAAAACGTTTTTTAATATTTTATTCAATTCAGTTAAAGCTTATTTTATTTCTAGTAACAAAAGTTTTTATGGTTTGAGTTTTAGTTATTTAATATGTCAAGTTTAACTAAATAAAAATAATAAATTTTGCCTTGGCAACTATGTGAAATAAAATAAGTTTAAGGTTCTTAAAAAATATACTTTTTGATTAATTTCAGTTAATTTCATTTTATTTCAAGTAACAAAAGTTTTTTTAATGCTTTTTTTAGTTGTAGTTATTTTAGTACATCAAGTTACACTAATTTTTTAAATTTTATTATTTGTATTTTATTTATAATTTGTATTTTTGTTTCATTTCAGCTAAAGTTAATTTCATTTTATAACAAATAAAAAAATAGAGAAAGTTTTTTTCATGGTTTTAGTTATTTCTGTACATCAAGTTAAACTAAATTCATATCAGAAATGTTTGCTTAGCAACTAGCTGAAAAAAAGTTTAATTCTTTAAAAATATTTTATTTGTTAAAGTTTATTCTACTTCAATTAATTTGTTTTTATTTGTATTTGTATTATTATTATTATTTTTCAAGGTTTTAATAACCCAGCTGAACTTGGCAGGTTCCCTCGGACTCTCACATTGAGTTGTTCTGTGGGAAAAGCCCCGATCCCGACTCTAGTGGTGTAGGCCTTTGACACTCCGTACACGTCACCGATGTTCGCCGGCGGGATGCCGAGACCGGTGCACACACCCCCCACCGTGCAGTTGGACGACGTCACAAACGGGTACGTTCCTACAGAGAGACAAACCACCGTCTTCCACAGTTCACACACACACACACACACACACACACACACACCTCCTCACCAAAGTCGATGTCCAGCAGTGCCGCGTTTGCTCCCTCCGCCAGGATTTTCTTCGGCGACCCGTGAATTGCATCATACATGAAATAGACGCCGTCTCTGACCAGAGGCCTGATCCTCTCGGCGTAGTCCTGTGAAGGAGCGCGGGTCAGAGACAGAGAGCCACACACACACCGCATGCCTCAGCTGTTCAACTGACCTTCAGCTTCTTCAGCTCGCTCTCCACCTCCACTTTCAGAGCGGGGAACATGGACTGGTACTGCAGCACCAGGTTCTTCACCCTTCAGCAGAGAGTTATCAACACTTCAGCTCAGCACCGCACTGATATGAGCAGCAGTGTAAGATTTACACAGGATTTACCTGCTAGAAAACTCGCTGAAGTCAGCCATCAGGTCACAGATGCGGAGCCCAGTGCGAGACGCTTTACAGGCGTACGTGGGTCCGATGCCTTTCTTAGTTGTTCCTATGCTGTGAACCAACACAAATACATTCAATATTAATCATAAAAAACTATAAAACTACTAAAATAAATAATGCAACAGAAAGTCATTAAACTCAGGAGGCCAAACTATATTATTGCATCTATTGCATCTGTTTTTATGTTTTCTGTTTGTTTTTCTTTAATTCTAAGAAAAATGCATTATTAAAAAAAATATTATTATTATTATATGAAGTTTGCAATATTTGCAACTAAAATTTGCAACCAGTTACCAAACCGCAGGACTGAATACAGTGTAAAACCTTAATCTGTGTGATTTTTGTTATCTTCTATTCTATTTGTGTGATTAAAATCTCATATAAGAATAAGAATTGCATTAATAATGCACATTTATTATACTCAAGGAACTTCAAACATATCAAATATAACGCATAAATACATAAAAAAAAAAAAATAAGAAAACTAGTTTAATCACCAAACATTTTAACTACTAAAAAAATAATGCAACAGTAATTTGAGTATCAGAGTTCAGATATTATAATATTATAAGCTGTTTTATTTTACTTTTTTTGCATGATTTTATTGAGTTTATTTTTGTTTATGTTTTATGCACTATGTTTGAAGTTATTTGAGTATAAGAAAGGTGCATTTATTATTGTAAATTAACAATAATAATACTAATAACGGTTGTTAATAATAAACAAAGTGTACATATGGAAAGTGCATACTTTTGTCCTTCCTGAGCTTGTCTCTGAAGCTCCTGAAGTCCGTCCACGGCCTGATGAAAGTCAAATACTGACACAAACAGATGCACTTTTATTATTATTTCATTATATGTATTTTCCACCACCACTGTAGTCAATATATTTAATAAAAACA